TAAGATGATGTCATGGGGTAGGACTGGATAAGTCTGACTTCTTCCTACTCCATTCAAGCATGTACTAGGTATAAGCACATTGATGTTGGATTAACATTTGTTGGATATGTGTGTTGATATATCAACTGTCTTTACATGCTTGAAAGAATAAATAAATCAAAATCAAATCAAATCAAATATAAGGTAAGATTACGCATACCTCCAAACTTTTCTTTAAAATATTGTAATAGTGTAGGAGAATTAACAGGCTGCATTGTCTTGCTTCCCCCTTTCCTCCTTTGCAGGACAATAAAGCCATGAATATGTTTGGTATGGATCACATGCTGAAAGACGACTGGAAGGGCTTCTACAGTCAGGGCTACATGTACTTCGACAACTGCTCTTCCCTCTTCTTGCCAAAGGTTTGTCTTACAGTGGTGAATACATAAACACAAGATTGCACAGTTAGTCATCACTGTGCACACAGAGTTAAGCTCACTGTTTAGTGCAGTAGTTATCTCACATCTAACATCTTGGTCTTATACATTTTGTTTGTACTGCACTTGTTTATCTTTCAGACAGTTACAGTATATGTATTTCTTCACTCTGTCGTCTCACCTAGGTGTATTATGCTGACTTCAACCCATATCTGCCCCTCACTAGCCCACAGGTGAGTCACTGACCATAATATCCAAGAACTATTTTAGATATTTGGGTGTGTCTTTTACCCTGCCTTTATTTCACTCTACCAAATCACAGCACTCTATGAAGCATTGCTTTTTAAATGTGTGTGTTGTCTGTTCACTTTAACATTGTGCTCTGTGTTCTGTTTAGAGCGACCCATCAAATCAGAGCGTTTGGTGGCATGAGAAGCCAGTAAGACATGCAATTAATTACCTTTTAATGGAAATGACTTATTTACAGTTGCCTACTCCATCGGGTTCTTGGCTCACACACATCTACTTGCAGGGCATCAGTGCAGTGGCCAAAGCCTGGAAGGACAGTCCCTATCTGTTCATAGTGAAGGTGCAGCCGTTGTTCAGAGGAATTGAGGATGACGACATCAGAGCCGAGCAGCTCAACTTTGCCTTTACTAGTGAGAGACATTATTTTTTCCCCTTGAGAGCTTTGACATCTGTATTTACTCAACAGGAAATTGAAGAAGAGGAGATTAAAGAAATATAAAAACTTTGATTTAAAAAACTGACACATTTGAAGGAGAAGTGACTTCCAAATTTTGTTTTTACCTAGTGAAAGTGGAAATGAAGGGGCCACATGACTACTCCTCCCCAGCAGACTGGCCCCTGATGATAGTATGTACCATAATTTCTATAAAAGGAGGGCTTAAAAATTTGGAAATGTTTGTACAGTAACTTGCATGATAAGGACTGCAGCACATTAGAGGCAAACGCACATAAATTTGGCTTTTCTGTCCAATACAGTTCTTCATGGTCATGTGCATTGTGTACGTGCTGTTCGGGGCTCTCTGGCTCTTCTGGTGCGCCTGCTACTGGAGGGATCTGCTGCGGATCCAGTTCTGGATCGGCGCCGTCATCATCCTCGGCATGCTGGAAAAAGCCGTGTTCTACTCCGAATACCAGAGCATCCGTTACAGAGGAGATTACGGTTGGTCAACTTTATGTTTTTCGTTGTTTGTGGCTTGGATTTTTTTGTTTTTGTTTTCATTTCAGTCTGTTACAGTTTTGTTTGTTTTGCTCTTAACAGTTCAAGGTGCTGTGATTTTTGCTGAGCTGCTCTCTGCACTCAAAAGATCTCTAGCTCGAATTTTGGTCCTCATTGTCAGCCTTGGCTATGGCATAGTCAAGTAAGTTTACTAGTTTAAAACTGATCCTTTGGCGCACATTATGTTGTGATTACATTTTAGCTCAATATCAGTGTTTTTCCTCCCTCTTCTTTAGGCCTAGGTTGGGCACCACAGTGAACCGACTGGTGGCTGTGGGGCTTTTCTACCTGCTCTTCTCCTGTGTGGAGGGTGTGCTGAGAGTGACAGGTGTAAGTGACAACTGCTAATAAGCACCATGTGTACTACTACAATTGACAGAAATATGACAGAGAAACAGCTGGTGTATCTGTTAGCAGTGCAGCCAATTAAATACATTGTTTTAATAAAGATGTCAGTTAATATTGGGCCTTTCCCATCATGCCATGATTTGATTTCATGCCGTATATGGAGCGAGTAAAAGGGGGTGGATACCTTCCCTGGAAGTTGGAGGTTGTCATGTGTAACTGGTCTGACAGCTCCTGACTGTTACTCCATGGAGTATTTAAAACTGTCACTGTCAGAAAATGCTGGAAATGACCATTTTTGAAGAACAGTCACTGTGCAGCTGTGTGAAAAGTCACACCGTGTTTTACCAGTTTAATGCTTTTATTTTAAGCAGGGACAGTAGGAAACATTTAGTTTGAATTTTCATTAACTAAAGACTGAACAGTAAAACTGAGGTTGATAAGATAAATTAAAAACACTAACAGTGGATTTAAATGCTGTATTGCTTCCTATGAAACCCTCAAGCGTGTGGAGAGAATCTAAATGAGGTGTGGAATTGGCACTAACATTGCAGTACACCAAGTGGGTGAAAGAGGGAAAGGATTTAACATCGGGTCTTGCTTTCTCTGTGAGGCACACCCCCTCACTGCTGTCTAGGGGACCGTTTATTCATTTCCTGTGGCCACAGATGAATTTCATCCAGGCAAATACAATGAACCCACTGCATTTCAACTACTGCAGATTGGACATTATCTGTTGTTGCCGCCTCAGGCTGATTTAAACTGATAGTGCTGGTGTATTTTTACATAAAAATCTTGCCTAGCACAGCTTTCAAGGCGCTGTGTGTAAATAAATTTGATCTGAGTGAAGGAGACAATAGAGAGGTTATGCAGGGATTCGGTCTCTGAGAGGCAGAGAAGTGATGAATAAAGAATGACAAATTTGATCCAAGAGTGACTTCTGAAAGCAGTCAAGGACACTGCAGAACAAGTCATGGAAAACTAGTTATACAAACAAGCATAAGGTAAGAGAGATGGTAAGGAGAATCGAGTTCCTGGAGTGATGAGCAGACAGATGTTTTGTCAGGAGGCAGCTCAAAATCTTCAGCAGATCTTTACACAAGTTTAACTTGTTTAAAAAAACCTGTGATTTCTTTCACTTAGTCATGTTCGTGTACACACACAGTTTTTTTTTCCATCCACACTGCTGCCCTTTGCCTAAGCATCACAAAGTCTGACTCCTGTCTTCTGTCTTCAGGGTTTCTATGGGAAAGTTGCCCTGGTGGCTAATCTCAGCCTCTCTCTTACTGACTCCTGTGTCATGTGGTGGATATCCTTTACTCCGTCAGCCAGGATTTGCCTTTTCAGGACCTTTTTATTATGCTTATTCAAATGTATATACATTATGTTCTTCTTAACTTTCATCTACATTTTCATCAGTCTTTCTCAAACTACTCGTCTGTTGAAGCTCCGCAGAAATGTGGTGAAGCTTTCTTTGTATCGGCACTTCACCAACACTCTCGTCTTTTCTGTTGTCGGTAAGTTACAGCTGTACAGTATACTGCCTCTGGTTACAGCTGCTGTAGGGTAAAAAACATCAGCGCTGCACTGTAGTTCAGAAACAGCTGTTAAGATCACAAACAATATCAGCACCAGAAAATGAGATGTTGCATGTTTTAGGAGTACTCTGTGTATACTGCAGGTACACTAGTGAACGTTGTGGTTTAAGGGGAAAGGTCAACATTTTGGGAAATATCTGTTTACTTGTGGGGGCTTTGATAGAAGGATATGATGCTGGAGGAAGTAACGGTAATCCATGCTACATACACTACTGTACTATGTCTCAGCAACAGAGCGAGTGTATTTCTCTTGTGCAGTACAAGTATGCACCTCCAGTATTACATAAGTATGTAAATACATTAGTTTTTCAACTCTCTGGCTAAGTTAACATTTGTTCAGTTACTAATTCTGCCTTCACTGGTGAGAGTTCATGTGCTGTTTCTGAGTATTTGCATATTGTTTACAGACATCATATTGAGACCAGTGTTTACTTTGTGTCCACAGCTTCCATTATATTCATCATCTGGACCACCAAAGTCTTTAAGCTGGTAGACTGCCAGACGGTCAGTGTGTTTTCTGTTACTGATTGAGTGTTGCGTTGTGTTGCTGCTGTTCTCGTGAGGTTTCTGTTTCTTGTTTTATTTGAAAGGTGAACTTGATAACATCCATCTCTATGTTTACTGTGTTCTGTTTCTGTCCTTTCCACAGGGTTGGAGGGACTTGTGGGTAGATGATGCTTTCTGGCGCCTCCTGTTCTCCACCATTTTGCTGGTGATCATGGTGCTGCTGCGGCCTTCCGCTAACAGCCAGAGGTCAGACTCGAAACTGAGCTGGGGTTGACTGCGGAAACATCTATTCAAATGCATGTTTGACAAGGTTCCTAGTTGTTGGACCCCAGTCTCTGTTCTGTTTCCTCAGGTTCTCCCATTCCCCTCTGATTGATGAAGACGATGAAGAGGAGGAGGCCAAGGAGCCCATGCTGAATGAAGCTTTTGGTAGGACAATAGAGCTGTTAAAAATATCTGCATCGCACAGTGACAGATGGAATCTGTTGTATTAGTACAGATCAGATGCCCTGACAACCGGAGGAATATTGTTTAGACTGACTCTTGGATACATTGTCAGTATCTAAATCCTGTGCTGTAGCAGCCGAGTGTGCTTTGTTTCAGATCAACTGACTGGATGCTTTGTGATCTACAGTACATCTCCAATCATGTAGTGTAGATCACAGGCCCACAAAAGCTGCAGGGATAAAAATGTTTTTTGTGTTTTTCACATCAGCCCTAAATGTGGAAACGCTTAAGTCAGTGTTTTCTAATGGAGTCTTAATTACCATCATTTCTTTTATGTTCTCTAATGGACCTCTGTGAAAGTGCCAGCAATGTTTTCCAGTATATTTGTGCTACAACTGCAAAGCTTCTAATTAGTTTTGTGCTCTGTGATAAATCCACCTGTCTCCAAATAATCTAGGTCTGCTCACAGCCATGACCCAAAAATCTGTTCATGCAGACATGTGGAGAACAGATTCAGAAATGTAGTAACCATATGATATTATACATATATAAAAATATATATAGTCATATTATTAGATGAGGAATCTTTCTGTGATCTCATTTGACTTATTTTCCTTCCAGCGGGGATGAAGATGAGAGGCTCAAAGCCTGACACTAATGGCTCAGTGAAGCTGTTGAGTAAAGAGGTGTGTTGACCGTCTCCTGCCATCATCTCTCTTGTTTTACCCATGAATTGTTTTTTCATACATTATGTTGTATTTCTAAACTTTGCCAGGATGAAGACCTAAAATGGGTTGAAGAGAACATTCCTACAACTGTTGCTGATGTGTAAGTATAAAATATATTTAAATTCTCCCTAATGGTCTCACATTGCAATGTGCTTTACAAAGTAAAACAGAATGAGATAGTCACACATATCACACAAGGTAAAACCATAATATAAAATACAAAAGTTAAAATACAAGTAAAAAAAACAAAAGTACAGAACTAGATTTACTCAAAAGCATGAGAGAACAGCAGTGTTTTGAGTTTAGCCTTAAATGTGGCTAACTATTGGACTTGTTTTAGCTCTGTGGGGAGTTTGTTTCACCTGTGTGCGGCGTAATAGCTGAGTGCCACTTCTCTCCTTTTAGCCCTGACCCGGATTTCAGTCAGCTGCTAATGTTCAGCAGATCTAAGGGCTCTGGTTGGCATATTTTAAGGAGGCCAGAGATATATTTTAGTGTCAGATCATTAAGAGATTTATAAACCAACATTAAGTACTTTATACTTTTTATACTTTACTTTATAGTCCAGTCTGTTGGTGATGAAAGCATGAGCAAGTCTGCATCATCTCTGGACATAAAACCTGAGTCTCAGTGTTTAAGATGATAAAATGCAGTTCTTCTTAGGGCCTTAATGTGACTATTAAATGTAGTTTAGAGTACCTGGTCAAGGGCATCTCAGACTAGACAGATACACGGGTAGTACTCAAATAGCAACACTTTGAAGCAAGCTACTGCACTGTGCGAACATGTTTACTGCTTCTTGCTCTGATCTGACTGCTTTTCTCTCTCTGTACAGAACTTTGCCTGTGATGCTAGATGAGGAAGAGGTAACTGCTCCTTTTACTTCCCCCTGCTAGTCTAAGGATTTCAGTCACGTTTGTGTCTTTTCAATTGCTCCTGCTATTGACACTTACTGTGCTGTCATTCCACAGTCACGCTGCTGTGCTTACATTAATCAGTGTTCACTTTTTCCAGGAAATCTTGAAAACCAAGATGGAGCGATCCAAAATGGAGTAGAGATCAATCCAAGGAGATGTAGATGATGTGAGAATGAAAGGAAAACAATTTGACTGAGGCTGTAATGAATGCATTCTGAGTGATGTGATGGGCAAAAGCAACAGTACTCTCTAGATACTACATTTTTAAAAATTTAATTTCATAGGTAATGTGTACACAATAAGCTCAAAGAAACATGAGTTTTATTATTACTATTATGTGGTAATGTGCAGGCCCGAGTTGGATGGATTGGCTGTTGACGTCTAGACCAGCATTCAGGGACCGTGGTGAAACTGAAGGAATTACACAGCAGAGCACTTTAATACATATTTAATTTGTTTCAAATGTTTCTTCACTGACACAAACTTGGCCAAAGTCAAGGAGAAACGGGGCATTTTACACAGTGCCCTTGTGCAGAATTTAATATTTATAAAAATTCTAGGATGTATGACTTCTTGAGCACTGAGGCGAAGATGAAAACATCTGGGATACATTTCCTGTCTCACTTCAAATTGCATAAGATTTGTAGGAATGAATTTGGAATCTGTTTAGGTCATGATGCTTGTTAGTCGTCACAGCCAAGATATCGGCTGATGGTACGAATGGAAGTGAAAACACATCCTGAAAACACTAAGTTATTGGGCGTATGAAAAGATTATATTGAAGCCAGCACAGGGTCTGACATATGACGGTCATCCTGAGCTGATGGGTTATGCCAGAAACTAAATGTTAAAAATGGCTGTTTTCAGCATGTGTTTTATTGTGTTAACATATTTAATAGTTCACATGAAGATGTACATTTAATATTTAAATGAGCTAATTATCATACTCTGTGGTATGATTAACGATTTAGCCAGGACACTAAGAAACAATCTTTTAAGGCTTTTACCTAACCAGTGAAGATTTCTTATTTATTGTAGCTGTGCCAACAAAAGTGTGTGTCTTACTGTTAAGACACAGCTAACACTTTGTTGTCTGGCTGTTTGCCACTGTTACTGTATGTAAACACAGTTGCACCAAGTGAATATTAAGTACTTGAAGCATATCAGATTTGCCATGCTCTATATCTTGTTTTAACTGGAACACACTGTCTTTTGGCCTGGGAGAATGTAATGATCCTGTTTGTCAAGAAATTTCTTTAAAGCCAAGTATACTGTAATATTGTAAACAATGATCTCAGTCCATTTTTTAGACCCACACCAGATTTCTTCTTGCGTGTTCTTTGCACAGAACAGTTCAAGTGACTAATGTTGGTGGTTTTCAAGCTTTTAGTGGTTGAAATGAAGGACTGCATGTTCCTTGGTGAGTGAGGATGATATACAGCCCTTATTTTGTTTTCTAGTGTTCAAACATATAAGTAGTCATGAATCAAAAATTAAGGATGTTTATTTTCATAAAGAGAAACATTTTGTAGCTTTTTACATAACAGCAGTGTCCATTTCATGCTGTAATCACCAAAGTGAAAACATTTGTTTTAGCTACTCAATCACAGGATCCATGGATAAACCTTACTGATGTGGTGTGAGCCTAACATTCTCACTCCTTTTACACTCCCTCTTCACTGACTGTTTTGTTTAGATCCTCACCTATATTCAATAGCAAACAGTAGTTAAAAAATACTCTAAATACTTATTTCACCACAAATACAGATATTTTTGAGCCTATCCTGTTCACATCCTATTCTGGCAGAACTACTGTATATCACTATTGTGCAATCTACTGCAGTATGGATGGATATTCAAAATTCCTTAATTTGTTTTTATATATATAAATCTTTTTATGTCTTAAGAATATTTTATTTCAAACAGGACTAATGCCCAGGTTTTGATTGCAAGTCTGTGGTGTAATGTGAAGCTGATAATATTGTATGGCTTTATGTGTATGTCCTACAAATAAACTTTATATTGAAATATGGTTAGAATGTCTGTTTTGTGTTCATTTATGATGCATATTACAAAAGCTGAGGTGCAACATTAAATTGATAAAAACAATGCAGCATAACATTACCCAAAAACTAAAAGGGGTATCTGCAGGTCTTGTAACTTCTGAAAAAACACTGAATATAGTTTCCTCAAAAAAAGGATTAGAAAATATTAAAAGGTCTTAAATGTAATTTACATAGGTTTTTGATTTTGTCATGCTTGTTGTAGGCAATATTTTGGTGCAAAAATATTTCTGTATACATTTGTGTGCAGGATATGTTATTGTTAATAATTGTAGGCCATATCATCACTGCTGATATTCCATCATATTTCCATATGTTACCTGGTATGACCTCAAAACAGCTATTAAATTGTCTGTGTGGTTCTAAAACATGTCTTGCATGTAAGTTTGTGTGAGACTTACCCAATTTAAAAATGATTTCTAAAACATCCATCAGTGCATACATGTTAAAAAAACAAAAGAGAATGTCATCAGCTGTGCCTGTTTTTGTCCAAATCAAATCAAAGGTTTACATAAATTTGTATTGCACAGCAACTGGTTACTTCAGTAAAAGTATGTGAATATATGAATTATAATTTAGTTGATTGTATTTTGTCTTAGTAATCTGAATCAGCCAAATGTCCAGTAGGCAAAGAAAAAGTGCCCTTAAATAATCAGACGCGGTAATTGAGTAAATGTACATAATTACTTTACACTAAAAACTGTACAAACCCATCGAGTGTATCTTAAATTCTCGCGAGAATTACATCATTTCACTATGATTACATTATTACTGCGCCTTTAATGTGTTCCTCGTGACTGCCCTTGATTCGAGTCACGTGCCTGTCAAGCCCTCCGCAGTAGTCAACACAGCTGAGGAACTAGCAGTAAGCTAGCGACAACTAACCGCTACGGAAAGTTCTGCTTTGTTAAGTGTCTGCATTAGGTCAACTAAAGGTTAAGTTTATCATTGTTGAAAAGAAATGAACTGACTGCATATGTTCGGGTTTCATTTGGCATGGAGTGAGATGGAACCGTGTAGGAACAGTGGCCGTTGCTTGCTAACTTCTAAGCTAGCAGGCTAACGGCTAACGGCTGTTGTTTTGGTTGGCGAGATAGCTGACAAGTATAGTTGACAAGCGAACCAGACCAGATTTCCTCATTGCCTGACGAAACACTGAACTGCTCACTCGGTTAATGGCAAAACATAAAAGCCTACCACCCTGATAGATTCATCAGCGAGCTGTTGTCGGGCAGGGGTCAACTTCGTGTGAGATTAATCCATCACAAAGGTCTGTAATCGAATCATCAGTATTGCTTCAAGATGCACGACGCGTATGAACCAGTGCCTATTTTGGAGAAGCTTCCTCTTCAGATTGACTGTCTTGCGGCCTGGGGTAAGATGTTGACACCTTATGCGTGTCATAGCCACTATCCCATAACTGTTGTTTGACACTGAAGTGGTCGTTTTGGGCGTTTATTGGCCTGTAGTCTCAGGTGTTCCACATGTCTAGAAACAAGGCAGGATTAGTAACAGGGGAAAGGGATCCAGTGCCCACTGGGTCTAATATGTCATATGTCTGAAATGACTGACAGCATCCTTTGATTGGTCACTGACTAGAGTTTCTCCTCTGACAGAGGACTGCCTGCTTGTGGGAACAAAGCCAGGGCATCTCCTGCTTTACCGAATAAAAAAAGATCCAGGTAAAAATAAAGTCAAGAGGATATGGGATGCAATTGATCCTTTGTGTATTTGCAGTCATTTTTGAGGAACATGTCTCTCTTCCCTTTAGGCACCAACCGGTTTGAGGTGACCTTGGAGAAATCCAATAAGAATTTCTCAAAGAAGATACAGCAGGTAGATAAGGCTGAATTTTATGATAACCACAGACTGTCTGTCCATTCATTATCTATACCAAGTATCCTGTAGAGGATCGTGGGGTGCTGTAGCAAATATTAGGTGAGAGGCGGGGTGTACCCAGTCTATCACAGGGCTGACACATAGAAATAGAAAACCACTCTCATTCACACCTATGAGCAATTTAGAGTCACCAGTTAACCTAATCTGAGCATCACTTAGGCACAGGGAGAACATGCAAACTCCTCACAGAAAGGCCTTGGTCGGCCTTGAGGTTTGAACCAATAACCTTCTTGCTGTGAGTTGACAGTGCTAACCACTGCACCAGTATGCCACCCAAACCGCAGACTACATAACTCAAAAAATCTGGAGAAGTCTGGAGAGGAAAGCCACAACTCAAATACTTACAGATGTTTAGGACTACATGCTGTATTTCTCTTTTATTATTACTAATAATAGTACTGTCTAATATTGTCAGTGGCCAACTCTCTCTCGTACTGAATCTAGGAATGTTCATCCTCATGCCAGCTTGGAATACCAGAGATGGTTGATGTGATGGTTTAAAACTGAATTTGTAATCTTAACATTCTTTCAAATGGTGGTGGTGGTCCCAGGGAAAGCTGGTTCAACAACTGAGCTCTGGTGTATTTTAACATCCACATAAATACCTGCTTAAGCTTGGATTTGATCAGTTTGAGCCTCCTTTTATTGTGTTTTCTACTCTTTCCACAGCTATATGTTGTTTCACAGTACAAAATTCTTGTTAGTCTTTTGGGTAAGTTTTTCTTACTGACACTTTCTATTTTTGTTTTTCTTTGCATGTAAAAGGTAATTCTTGACTCTGGGTAATGTTATTCACAACCATTTTTGGGACCTTCACTTTAACAATCAAGTTTTGTAAATAATCTGTGTATTGTTAAACCTTTGCTGCCGTGAAACTAAAATCACACAGCATAGTATTTATCATCATCGTTAGGACATGTCCAAAAGTCTCTTTGATTCTGTCTGTAGAGAACAACATCCACGTCCATGACCTCCTGACCTTCCAGCAGATCACTGTGGTGTCCAAAGCCAAAGGAGCAACAATTTTTGCATGTGACCTGCAGGTCAGTTAAGAGACCCTGGATGGTTGCAGCCATATCAAGTGTTTTTGCATTTCTAGAAGACTCAAATTACTACCAGCATTAACTGAAATAAGTTGTGAGCTCATAGACATAAAGTGGGTACAGTTCTACATGTGAACTTCCAGTGCATATCAGTTTCATTGCTCTTCCTCATGTAATATCAACACTGGCAATGATTTTCAAATCTCACATGCTGTTACTTCCCACCAGCACATGAACACTCTGACATCCTTTTTAAATTGGCCCCAATTTTAGAATTTACCAGCGTGTCTTTGACAAAAATAAAAAGTTCAGAAAACTGTCCGTTGTTATGGATTACGTCTTTGTTGGTGTGTCTTTTTACTGCACTGAAATGAATGGAACCACTGGACTCCTTGGAAACAGGAAAATTGTAAGCTTAAAAAGATACAACAATAAAATGCTGCTATAATTCCCTTTAACATACAGTCTTATGCAAAAGTTTAGGCACCCCTTGATAAATAACAGATTTTGGTGATTTTTTATTTGAACAGATGTTAACACAGTTTCTCTTGGAAATGGAAAAAATGCACAATATTTTGCAAGGAAGAATGGGAGAAGATCCCAAGTACAAGAATTGAAAGACTTTTAGCTGGCTATGAAAAGCGTTTGCAAGCTGTGATATCTGCCAGAGGAGGTGTTACTAAGTACTGATTGTGTAGGGTGCCCAAACATTTGCACCATGCCATAATAATGTTTTTATTTTTTATTTTTGTTCAATTTATGGCATAAGAAGTAACTATGCATCACTGTTTGCTGAAAATATTGTGCATTTTTTCCATTTCCAAGAGAAACTGTGTTAATATCTGTTCAAATAAAAAATCACCAAAATCTGTTATTTATCAAGGGGTGCCTAAACTTTTGCATAAGACTGTATTTTGGCACAGTTATTATATCCAAGACAGAAGACAGTCATAACAAAACTTTTTCCTGTCATTTCCACTTCATTGTATTATACTCTTATTTTCCCTGATTTGAAGACACAAATTGTATATTTTGTCTCCGTTGTCCTCAGAAAACCAGCTCAGGAGAGGAAACATTGAGAATGTGTGTCGCAGTAAAAAAAAAACTTCAGCTGTATTACTGGAAGGACAGAGAGTTCCATGAGCTGCAGGTAAAATAGCATATATGAAATGTGACTTTTCCAGTTCTTTGACATCTTTAATCATCTTTAATGTTTTTTTTTTGTCGTCAGGGGGACTTTGGTGCACCAGATATTCCAAAGTCCATGGCTTGGTGTGAAAACTCCATATGTGTTGGTTTCAAACGAGACTATTACCTAATTCGGGTACGTGCTACAGGAAAGAAGCTTTTTTTCATTCAGCTTTACTTATCTGTAAAAGTATTTCTCTAGCTATGGTCTGTGTTTTGAATATGAACCATTCATCACTTGTAGACTTTAAAGAAGGCTGTAAAAGGTTGGTGAAGAGCAGTGACTACCAATAGTCAGCTTGGTTTCATCAGTTATTAGCCTCTTGGATGAGAGGTGAAATGTCTTCGACCTAGAAACCTAGTCCATTTGATTTTTTTCTAAGTTTTTTTTTTTCAGCCTACTATGACCTGGATGACTGAGAATCTGCACAGACATCACACTAAAATATTAAATTGTTCTGATAGCACACTTTAAAGCAGGCTGTTAGGTAACTTGTTCCTGTCAGTTTTTTCCTTGAATTTATGTATATATGTTAAACATTATCTCATGCTTAGTATTCCTGATTAGTTTTTCTTTACTGTGTTGTTTTTTGTTTGTCTGAAGCACTCTGATATTGACTTTGCACAAAAAGTTCATGTTGCTGAGATAAGATATTATTGCATTCTTTTTCTCCTGACTCACTCGTACTATCTCTGTCAACCAGATGGATGGCCGTGGCTCCATCAAGGAGCTCTTCCCCACTGGAAAACAGTTGGAGCCTCTGGTTGCCCCATTGGCTGATGGGAAGGTGGCTGTTGGTCAAGATGACCTAACTGTGGTTCTAAATGAAGAGGGCATTTGCACCCAGAAGTGTGCCCTGAACTGGACAGACATCCCTATAGCAATGGGTAAGAAAGAGGTTGGGGACATTAAACAAGCTTCACAATTATCTTGGGGGGGGGAAAAACAACTGTTAGCACGAGCAGCCAGAGTCACTGACAAGCCTATTGTGGTAACATTAGGTCAAACCCAGGCGGCAACCTCTGAGGCTGAGAAATGAAGCTAATGTAGATGTGCCAAAGCTTGCAGCTCCTGGAATGGCCGCTTGAAGCCATCACCAATACGGAGTCAGTCCCCATAGACTCCCATGTTAAAATGCCTGGTACAAAAATGGTTTTGGTCTGCAGTTTCTGTCCTTTTATGACTCTTGATGTTTTTGCTAGAGTGAACTTGTGTTTGATATTAATAGGAAGTGACAGCTCTCTATGTGACTTCTAGCTAACACACAGAAGGCCTTTTCCCAGCGTGAGTTACCCCTGGCAGCTGATTTCACTCAGGAAAAACACAAAAACTGCTTCCTTTTTTTTCTTGCTTGCCTGTCACTCTTCAAGAATCAAATAAAACCTTCCAAAAATATACAGTTTTATAGAAACTCATTGCCACCATCTTAGTTAATAACATATACTGTATTTTGTTAGACCCTATTGTATCTGAAGTGCAGGCTGCTTTTGGTTCTGCTGAGGACACTACTATAAATTCTGACCACTCCAACACTGACCAGTGTGCCCATGATAAATCATGTCTACACTGGCAAAAAAAAATCACTACAGTAGACTAAACAAAGAAACACCACAAGGAGAAACAGGTTTACACCATTTTGGCACATGCACAAACTGCTGTGGAGACGACAATTATGACATTCAGTTCTAGTGAATGGAGGAAATTGATCGCATTCTAGATTACATGCAGGTTTTTATTGCAGAAATCACAGTTATATGGTCGGTGTGTTAAATATAAAGTGGGCACTCTGAGTGTGTGTGTGTGTGTGTGAACATGATCAGAAAAAAAATCTCCTTCCTCTTAGATAAACTTTCCAGCTTT